TTCCCTACATCCTTCCCTTCTGTGCCCATTCAGTCCAAACAGCAAACACAAGCAAAAACCTCTTTGAATCTGGCAGACTTGGATCTCTTTACCTCCACTGGTGAAAACAAGCAGCCCTCCTTCCCACCTGCATTTAATACATCAAAATCAGGCTCCTTCCCTCCACCACCCCTTCCATCTACCACTTCCCAACAAGCACCCAGCAAAAGTTCAAGCTTAGCTGATGAGTTTGGAGAGTTCAACCTCTTTGGGGAATTTTCTAATAGTGCATCAGCCAGTGGACAAGATGACTTTGCAGATTTTATGGCTTTCAACAATGGCAGCGGATTTTCCGAACAAAAAGCAGATGACAGCTACAATGCACTTAAGTTAGAGACCAGCCCTGTTCCTCAGCCTGGCTCATCTGCCAGCACGGTGAAGAGTGGGCAGAGTTCTGCCACCACGGCTACACCCACCAAATATGATATCTTCAAACAGCTTTCTCTGGAAGGCTCTGGAGCAGGCTTTGAGGAGGGGAAGGACAACCCGCTTTCTTCAGTGAAGAGCGATGACGATTTTGCCGACTTTCACTCTAACAAGTTTTCTTCCGCGTGCAACAGCGCCGAGAAGTCCCTAGTGGACAAAGTGGCAGCTTTCAAGCAGGCCAAAGAAGATTCTGCTTCGGTGAAGTCTCTGGATCTCCCTTCTATTGGTGGCAGCAGCGTCGGCAAGGAGGATTCTGAAGACGCTTTGTCTGTTCAGTTTGACATGAAACTGGCTGATGTGGGAGGAGATCTTAAGCATGTCATGTCTGATAGCTCTTTGGATTTGCCAACAGTTAGTGGCCAGCATCCACCAGCAGCAGGTGAGGAACTGGTTAGATTGCTCTGGTAATGTAGGTGATGGAGGTTTCAGCGTTGTTCTGTGTGCTAAATTACAGTATTATGCACTAGTCTTTCAGTAGTTGAAAGACTCCTCAGTCTGTGCACCCATTAGCCAACAGCCCCTTAGCAGGGCAGTGTTTATTTCCTCCCTTAGGTGACTATAAATAGATTGAAAAGTTTGAACCCCATGCCAGTTTATTTTTGAGATTTGACAACATCATAACACTGGTACCTGTTAGCTATTGTCACTTAAGGGATTCGAGTGGAAAATTCTCTTAATGCAAACACTGTCATTCCATTTGTATTAGCAAGATGGATGGCTGAGAGTCTCATTTTAATCTCTTGGTTTCAGCAAAGCTTTTGGCTGGGGAACTTAACCCACTGTGCTTCTGAAAGGGTAGGCAGAACACTAATTTGTGCTGTTAATGAAAAGCTGTCTAATCAACACCACTAGTATATTCCCCTTACAGTGGGGCTTAATCTGTGTAGCCAGTATTTTGCAGGACTGCAAGTAGAAGTATTGCATTCACTTTTTAGAGTTAAACCCCGCATTGGAATAGTTGTGCAAAGGGCCTGTAAATGCTAGTCTCATGATTGATAGCTTTTGGACCTAAATTTAAAACCACAGGACTCTTACTTTCTCCTTGTCAGATGTTCACCTTCTTTAATTTCCCTTTCTGAAAGTACCCCTGAGAGAGTGAATGACCCTCTCTGATCTGATCACATATCATCAAACAAGTTTCCCAAGTGTCCTGCTTTTTCTTTTCATATGTACATAGGAAGATAAGATGTAGTGAAATGTTCTGTGGCCTTCAATAATACAGGAACCATTACTGTGTTCTAGTGACAAGTATTATGCAGTCAAAGGCTTTTCTGAGCAGGGGTGGAGCATACAAACTGTAAATGTAAAATCTGTTACTGCAAGGATTGGTTATTTCCATATGAAATACTTCTTCCATTTTTGCAGGTATGGGTAGAGAAAATACACAGTACTGTAATTTTGCATTATATGATATTTTTAAGAAGGGGAGAGAATTAGGTTGGCAACTCTGACATGGAAGATACTCTATAACAGGGTACAAAATATCAGGAATAATTTATTAGCAAAGACATTTAATTTTCATATTACTACTTGGTAAAATTCCAAGTTGAGTGAGCTGTCAAAAACGTAGCACCTACAGTGTATTATTGAATGTTTACTTTGGTTTTGAAAGCACTTTTTCCTAATATTTTTCTAGCCTCTTTTGGTGGTAGTTTGACTTATGTAGCTCTTCTACAGGATGTGAGCTTTTGCCACAGAAATCAGTGATTAATAATTGCCATTTGTGGCAGGGAAGACTGCTTTTTGGTTTGTTTAAAGGGGTTAGCTGATCGTGTGCTTGTTGCTAAACTTTTGAACTCTGAAGTATTAATTAGAAGCTATTTTTATTAAACTTAAACAAGTCTGTATTCTCCTATGGTGCCAAGCTAGACATTTTTCCACAGGGAGAGTTTTAGTCTATTGAACTCTGGATCTCGTAGCAGAGCGTCGCTCTGGACAATCTGTTACAAATACATCTCTGTTCCTTTATGTATGTTTGATGCATTTCAAGCTGTGAACTGCTGATGTTCAAGCCCTTTTTTTTTAAGTTTACTTAAGTTAAAAAGCAGATTTAATTTTTTTTTTCCCCCTCTTTTCTTCAATCTGTAAATCTAATGTCAAAAAAGGACAGTATCCCTTTGTCATCCTCACTGCTGAGAAGGGGGAGTGTAGGCATTGGGAACTGTGTGTTTGGAAGCACCATGTAACATCCCCAGTGACAGGACAGCGTGGCAGAGGTGATGAGAAAGGATTTGACTTTTCTGACACTGATACAGAGGTCCTTATCCTTTGGCTGTTGAGATTTTCCCATTGCATACCTTCCAGGTGTGGGCAGGTAGGTTGCTTATGCTGGGAACTGGGAAGAAATAGAGTTGCTTCCCATACGATGGACTTTGGTCTCTGAGGGAAGAAAGGTTTTCTGTTTTGCTCTCTCCAAAGGGGATACTGTCTCTTTAAACTTTGCTATTATTCTTTGTGTGGAAGGAAGATTATACTAATGTTGCCTGATTTTTCTTGCATTTACTTCATATAACCCTTTGAGCACTGGCTGCATGCTGTTACTTTCAACCAGGCTGCTTCTTTAAAACCAAATTTATGTTTTGCTCCAAGACAAAAGCATTTTAATTAGCACCTACTTGTGTTACATGAACCTGATTTGTCCCACATCCTGCTCAACGTAGCAGCAAGAGCTACCCTCACCTGGGTATTCTCAAAGGGTTATCCATCTGCTGCACTTACAAATCTGTGAAGTACCTTTTCCTTTGGCATTATTGGAGATCTCTGTATATTTTAATCAACTTCAGATTTTTTGCTGCTTTTCTAATGTCTAATTTCGACTAAACATTTCCTGTGTGAATGTGCCTTCTCAGATCTGCTTTGATATCTCTCTTCTGCAAGTACTGACCTGCATGCTTTATTCTGATAACGCCCTTACAAGCTCCTATGTATCACTATCTTTTGTGATCTGTAAGTCCTGCTGTGTTAATAAATATTATCTTGGCATATTTTGAAAATACGGGGATGTGTGTGATTTATTGCAAACCAGCAATGTATCTCTCTTTCCTGAAAAATACAAAGTTTAAAGTCGTAGTATCCCCTTAAGCTGGTGGGTGTCTTTCTCTCACAGAGCTTGGTGGGGGTGAGCTGCTCCTCTTGCAAAAGCTTTCACCTCACTCCCTCTGCACTTCTGAAACTTTACATCTCAGGCTGAACATGCTGTTTCAAAAGAGCAGTGTTTGAGAGGGATTGAGTAGGGGTGATGTGTGGATGGCAGGGTTGTTTCTGTGAGTTGCTTTTGAGGGTATGGTGGTAGTTCAGGCTGAAGACAAATGCTGTTTTCTCTGTCCCATTGTCTCATCTGGATTTTTTTTCTCCTGTCACCCAAGGTTTTGATACACCTTTGTGAAGGGAACCAGCTGGGAAATGTGTCTCTATCTGGGCCTTTATGAGTAGGAGCCCATTAAACAATATTCTGATATTTATTTAGCTAATCTCTGGTGAGCTAATCAGTGCCTCAAAGTAAAGGGCCCTGCTTCGTTTTTCTGTTTGGGAACGCCTGCTTACTGAATTTTAAAGCTCTCAAACACAAGTGACAGCTGTGAATCTGTGTCACATAATTATGTCACTTCAAATTCCTCCAAATCCTGGGCCACTAGCAGTTTGGGATTAATGTCAAATTAGCAGACAAGGTAAAAACCTAAAATGGAATAAAGTTAAAGCATGACACCAGTGCAGACTGGGGTTTGTCGTTTGTTGCCACAAAATCAAAAAACAAACCAGGAATGTTTTGGGTTTTTTTCTTCTTTACACCAGTCTTAAGATACATTAGAAGAAAAAAACCAAAAACCAAACTAAAACAACACCCCTCTTTCCTTCTGGATAACCAGTAGGTTATGCCTAGTCCTACAGCTTTTTCAACTGAAGGCTTGAATGTAAACCTGAGAGACTTAATTCTACAGGGCTTGTGCTGTTAGCATTTGTTTGGCTAATCATACCTGGAGGAGGGGGAGTAGTGTTCATGGCTCTGTACTTAATTACATTTTTGTCCAGACTTGACAGTCAGATTCACTCTCTGGCTCTCCTTTGGTGTGTTTCTGCAAACAGAAGAACTTGACAACACTTTATCCTGTGAAGGGCTCTCACAGCAGCGGGTGCATCCATGTGTTCCGAGCGTTGTCCAAGCCGAGCCAAGGGCTGCAGGGACACAGGTGCCCTGGGCTTCCCCAGGATACAGCTGAGCTGCCCCTCTGCTCCCAGTGCAAACTCAGGGGATCTTTATTCTGCCATGAAACAGTGTTTATCATGAGAACTAAAAGATAATTAGAAAAGTCATTATGTCCACAAGCTTTTCAAGCTTTCCTTTGTCCTTCATTTTAATGTATCTTACAGTCAGCATTCTTGATGGTTCCACCTTAGCAGTGCTAGGCACTGTCATTCTTCAGCCAAAGTAAATTGGAGTAACTCCCTTCTCATTAATGCTGTTCCAGGCTTCTCCAGCTGAGAAATGGGCTTTGAATTGTTCTGCTTGCTGACAGGCATGACCCTGGGAGCAGCAGGACCTACCAGCCTCTGTGTTCTCCCAGGTCCATCCATCTGCACCTCTGCTAGGGAAGCCCCTGGGAAGCAGCGAGGAGGTGGTGCCTGTCCCTGTCCAGTCTCTGGGCTTCTTGCTTAGGCTGCTGGTGATGTTCCTAGGGGAACAGCTCTGGGTTTGATGCTGTTCCACTAGGAACAGAACTAGCTAGCACCTGCATCACTCTAACAACTGAAAAATGAGACGAGTTGTATTAGTTAATCAGAATTAAATAAAAACTGAAATGTAAAAACTTAAGTCTCCTATTTTGGTTAAAATCCATAAATACATTGCAATCTTCTGAATTGTCTTCTTCAGGTTTCTTTAGGCTATCACGGATGCTGTCAAGGGTTTTCCTTAAATGATAAGACTGTTGACATTGAAGGTTCCAGCTTGTAAACTGCCTCCAGCCATAACTTAATCCTTGGTAGCTGAAATAAGTTGTTATAGTTGGCTCAAATGAAGGCTGCTGAGTCTTTCTGTAGATGAGATAACACTGGGAAACAGCATTACAGCTGTATTTCATCCTCTGTCTGGATTCTTCTGTATATCCCTTGACACTCCTACTCTACCCTTTGTCTTGTCTGGCTTGTGGACCTGTAGCTGTCCCCAGGTGATCATCAGGCAGGTCAGACTATGGTTTTGGTAGTTCAAAATGGATAGCCTGTAAATGGTAAATATTTCAAATATTTTGCTTTGGAAGAAAATGCAAATTTGGTTTGGTTTTTGGAAACTTGCTGCACTCCAGCACGATCCTGTGAAGATCACTTTTTCCATTCTTGGTCCTCTAGAAAATATTTTTAAGGAAAAATAAATGTGGTTACATTCTTTTTTTTTTTTTTTTAGTGGATCCAACTTTGATTTTTACAGACACACACATCCCACCCTGTCCCATCTATATGTGATTTGAGAATCTGTATCTCATGTATCTAATTTCAGGTGTGTTCTGTGGCCTCACCAGTGCCAAGCTGGCTGCGCTGCTGATGTGTGGCTTTAACTCTGTTGGTGACAGGGGTTTTTGGATTTTTATAACAAAACTAAACTCACATCTCATGTAACTTCTGAAAGACACCACAGAATTGCTACCGAGATTAGTCTGGAATACTGTTTTATGATTGTGTTTCCCCAAAATCTGTGGATGTGTCTCTTGTGGTAGGTTTACAGGATCCCTGTCCTGTGATATGTGTAAGATTTGTCCTGTTTCAACAGGGAATTACCTTTATGCTTTCCAAAAATGTCAACCAAGAAATCACCTTTAACCTTACAAAAAGACATTTCATATCTTCAGAACAAAGCATTTTCATAGGATTTCAAATGATTTAGTCTTTGCTCGTTTTTTGATAAAATGTGGTGCTTCTCATCAGTTCAGATTCTGTTCTTACTGTTAGGTGTTCTCCAGGAGGAAATGGAGGTAGCTCTGTAGCATCTGTCTTTGCTTAGTTATAAGCAAATTATTTCCCCCCCCCACACTTTTTCCTGATACACATGCATATTTTTAAATTTTAAATTGCCATAACAGCAAAATGAAGCTTTTGTTACATCAGGGGCAACAACTGCAGTGTTGTAACTGGAGCTTTTTGTATTCATTAAACCTAGCTGTGCTCTTTAAGGAAAAGGCTGTTGGAGGAGCAGTTCTTAGCACCGCTTAATAAAACGATCTCTTTGCCAATAATAAAGATACCCACATCACCAAGAGTTCTCTAGGGTGAACCAAGAAGTGCTTTCCACATGTAAACTGCTTCTTTGCTTATTAGTCTGGTGGTAAGTTGCTCTGCTCCCTGTCGGGGGAAAATGCTCCTTGCTTCATTATGCAATGAATACCCTAAGAGCTCAGATAAGTCTTTAGTTTTGCTGTAGCTCTGACAAAGGTGATGATTTTACTTCCTCTATGCAAAAACCTCTAACTTGTGGCAAATGATTGGATGAAATGCAGCTCATGGCACAGCAGTGTGCTGGGCATTTTGCAGTAGAATAAAAATTCTTAGAAAATCTACTTTACCTTGGCTGCTGGAGAGTTACACATGCTGTTCAATAAATTGTTTAAGGACTGCTTTAGCTGTAAACACTTTGTCTCTGAACAGTATTTTTCCTGTAATAGAACACTCTTAGGAAAGTTTATTCATCAGAGTAATCCTTTTGTAACTATCCAAATAAATAAAACGTAGGGAATTGAACTCTTTCATTTCATCTCTGCTCTTACACTTTTGCAGATGGGTTTTGTGTCTATGTGAATTCATTTAGAGAGTCTTGAATCTTAGCTTGTGAATAATTACAACATTGTTCTGCCTTCCCTGCCATGACCTATTGATTTCAGGGAAGGCATGAGGAGTTCCCAGTTCCCTCTGGAGCCTGCTGCTGAGCTCCAGCTCAGGAGTACACTGACCTGGTCTTTTAGGATGCATTTTCAGCTCCAACTCTTAGCAGTTATCAAAGAAATCACTCACAGTAGAATGTGAATGTGCTGATCTTCACAGTAGGATCATCAGTCTTTCTTTTCATTTCCTGGTGAACACTGAAACAAGAGTCATGCTTAAGCCTTTGCTGAGGTTTGGAGTCAACACAAGTTAGAAAAAAACAAAAAGGTTGCTTAGTTCACTGGGGTTTTTTCAGGCTCCCAGGATTAATTACAGTTGGCTAACACTTTGGAGGTTATTCTTGCACTCTCTTTAATGCTAGCAAAGCTTTCATTTAACTTCTTTAAACAAAACTGTATATTTGCGAGCACAAGGTGTGGCTTCTTGTGATAAATTACTGATCCCTTGCAAGTCAGCTCCTTTTCACCTCAGAGCCTTCTTTCTGTGCAGTTTTGCCATAAGCAGGTGATTTCATCTCTCGTCTGTTTACCCTTTGTAAACTGCTTGCTCTACAAATTTAATATTCCAGTGGCACTTTGAAATCCTGCTGTTTATGTGCAAGGTGTGAGGGTTTGTGATTGAGGTGCTGTCATGTGCAAATGCAGCAGCTGCAGGGAGACTGTCCCTTAGGAAGGTCTGATAGACAAACACACCGTGCCTGGCTGACCTGGTGCAAAGGGCCTTTTATTGTCAGAGCCATTAACCTCTATCATTATATTGCATATTTGTTTGACTCTTTAATTAGCTCTGTATGTGGGTCATGCCTGGAAAGCAGCCTAAAGCCTAGCTCTCCCCTTCCAGTGAAATGAATAAATGAAGGCAGGAATGTTTTGTTAAAATGGCTTAATCCTCAGGCTGGGGTGGCCAGATTGAATAGAGGGGGCAGCTGGAAAGTCAGCTTGTTCCCACCCTGGCTGTATTAAACCAAGTTGCTGCTACTGCATGCCAGCTGGTGAAGACCATGATGTTTATCAGAAGTCTCAGCTTGAAATGCTGCTAAAGGAATATATTTTTTGCTCTGGCTTGGCTTTACCTCAAGACTGTTTGACCCTAGGCACCAAGCAGCAGCTGAATGTCTAATCCAAGCTGACAACTGTTAATGCTGGAAAACAAATGCGAAGTGTAGTAGAGTAGGGCTTATTTTTTTATTTATTTAATGTTTTAATGAAAACTACCCAGCCCCTGGCTCTCTGTGCCTTCTCTCTGGATCAATCTTAGTCTAAACATGAAAGATCAGCTGAATGAGTAGCAGACAAAGCCCAGCAGCCCCTGCTCACTGTGCAGGCTCTAATGTAAGCAGCCAGGCTTTATCTCATACCTGCTCATGGCAGTGAGAAGAACCTATTGGCCCATATAATTGCCAGGTGAGTAGAAAGGTTTGGGAGCTTTCTGCAAAATAATTTGATTTTCTCTACGCTTAATGGAATAAATAGTTTGTAAAAGCTAAAACATGATTTTTCCAATGTCTGTGGCATTCCT